CATCTTCTCAGGATCCTTTCTCTTGCCCTGCACACCTGGAGAACAGATACAGGAAACAAAGGAGGGAAAGAAGAGAGGAGGTTAGACTACCTGAACTCACACCTCACCAGGGGTCCATCCCAATTCCCTTATTTAATAGTTACTCGCTCAACTCTGTAAGCCGTTCCAGTCCACCATCTATTAAAATAAGGGTTGCTTCTCATGTCTCTTGCGTTTTTCACATTTCCTGTTCGTGCAAGTCAAATGGCTGTACAAAGTTTTAGTTTTCCGGCATTTGACGGCATTTTCTGGATCTTGGATTCAGATGAGAAGATCAATACCAGTCTGTTGCATCTTCTTCCCACCCAGCTCCATAAATCGGAGGTTTTCTGGCTTTACTGTGGTCCGATTCATGGAGGGATCAGGAGAGACTGGGCCCCCCAACATGTGAAAGACCCCACGCCCCTACACTGGAGCCCTAGTCCATCTTTGTGGCCATTTCACATCTTATTGTATTTTCCCATTGTGTTTTGATTCTGTTAGCAGTTGTTTTTAATTATTTTGTTTTGGTTCTTTGTGGTCGTTCATTTCCGTTATTTTGCATCCCTTTTTTAGTTGCTTTGCGCCTCTTTGTAGCGATTCTGGTCTGTGTTGTTTTACTTAATTTTTACCTGATTGTCTTTTTTTGTAAACGCCTTTGTGTACCTTTGCAGTCATCTGATTAGCTTTCCAACAAGAAATGTTAACATTTCATACAGAGGCTCTGGTCCGGGGCCCAACCATCAGTAATCCATCTACGATCAGCTTGTTGGGGCCACAGATCTGCCTGTGAAGACAAGCTCAGGGGAAAGTCGTCCCATGCTTTGCTGATTCTCTGGCTTCTGACGGAACTGATCACGAAAAATAGGAAATATTACAAAGTTTACAATATATACAATTTTAACTTCCTGGATTGCAACAAAATATTAGAGCCACTGTTAAGAAAAATAAATCTGACATTTCAAAAATAAAATGAAAATATTTTGTGAAAAAGGAAACTTGTAACTTAAGATAATCCACAGCCTTCATTCGATGCCAAAACCTTTTACACTTCAACATTTCACACCTTTTCTCAAAATATTAGTTTCTGTATTCTGATTTGACTTTTTACCCAGATATTTCAATTTTCTTCTCTAAATTTCTACAAGCTTCCTAATAGTCATCTTCACAGTCACTGCACTGTAGAAAACCGACATAGAAAACAGAGGGACACACTGTCCTACAGTTTACTAACTGGTCCTACAAATTATGACAAACTCCAGTTTTTAAGTCCATGTCCTTGTTTATATAAAACCAAAGCTACAAATCAACAAACAGACCAGTGATGAGACAAGTTCGAATCCTCCAAACAGCTTTGATATAAACAAACAGCAACATCCAGACAGGAATCAGAATCAGAATCGAGGATGAAGAAGTTGAACAAATCCTGTGAGAAAAACAAATCCTGTTGGATCTGAGAAGATTAGAACTGTTCCAGCCAACTGAGATCCTTCAGGATTTGTTTAACAAATGTCTTCATGCAATCTTACAGGGTTTGTTTAACCAGCCAGCAGGTGGCGCTGCAGATGCTCAGCTGAAGTCTGTGGCAATGAGAAACAAAGACCAGAAACTGAAGTGTTGGTTCATAAAACCAAAAACAATTAGTACAGTTAGGTACACATTTAAAAAGCTGGAACAGTGAACAGAAACATCTGAGAACTTGAGTTCCTTACTTTCTCATTTTAAATTACATTTGGAAAAACAAAGCTATTTAAATTTTAATGTGAAGCACATGGAGCCCAGTGCGACTCTTAAAAAAGAAAACAAGTAGTTCTCCAGTTGTGCTCCAGTCACTGATTTCTTTTCTTCTTAAAATCTCCATATACACAGATTCTAACAGTGAAATAAATGCTTCAAGAACCTTTGTTCTTAACTTTAACAAAGAACACCAAGTACAAAATGTACACAAGAACAACACTTCCGCCAAGGGATCAAAGTAAAAAAATCACAGGAGATCAATCGGGTACACAGATCAAGCTTAACAAAAATGTTTTTATAGCTTCCATATTCTGGACAGTTTTGAGCGTAGTGCCACATTCACACAGCCCATGACCAAAGCGCTCGGTTTCAGTCTGGAGTCTGTCCACTTCTTTTTATGCATGTGAAACTTCCCTTGAATTAAGATTAATTGCACAAAATAAACAATCATTATTTATCAAAATATCTTCAAAGCCTAGAAAAAGGTCTCTTTGCTTGAGGAGCCAACAAAGCTACATCCGCGCTCATCTCTCCCACCACCGTTGCTGGCATTGCGCCTCTGGTGTGGAATCCCGGCTCATGGTTATGGCACCCTTAGCTTGGTCTGTATGAACAGATAGTGCCGGATCTCAGTGTAAAAACAACTAGAGCTTCAGGGGTGGGGGGCTGGGAGGTGAGGTGGGAGTTCTGCCTCTCAATAAGACGCATTCAGGGCATCTGTCAGTTGATGGTCTTCCACAGCAGGGGGTGGGGGATGGTTTCCTGTAGCCAGTGATGTTATAGACGAGGGGGCATTGGCTGAAACCTGGTTTCTCAGCTTTTCAGAGTCTTTGCTGCTCTGATCTCCCTTGTCGTGTGTTCCTGGCCTGGCTGTACTGGATCTTGTCCCCACGTCTGTAGGCCTCCTCTTCGACATGATGAAGCTGCTCGAGTTTCACTGTAAACCAGGGCTTGTTGTTGTATGTGCAGAAGGTCTTGGTGGACACACACACACATCCTCACAAAGCTGATGTATGATGCCACAGTGAGTTCATCAAGGTCCGTGGATGCAGCCTCAGATTCAGTCCAGTCTGTGTAGTCAGAGCAGGCCTGGAGCTCTGGCTGCTCGCTCCATCTCTTCACTGTTCTGACCACTGGCCTCACAGCTTTAAGCTTCTGTCTAATGATCACATTGTCTCTAGAAAACAACGTCTATCCCAAAGATCCTCAACTTAAAAGCTTGTGATAATGTTTTTTTGTGAGAAAACAAAAAAGTTGTCACCTTGAGGTAAAGAGATTTTTAATGGCAGCTCATTCTCTTGGGACAGCAATGTTCTTTTTTGAGTGTTGAGAGACTTAATTTGTCTCATCTCATTTTCTATACCGCTTAGTCCCAAACGGGGTCGCGGGCAGACTGGAGCCAATCCCAGCCGGCATCGAACGAAAGGCGGTGTCCACCCTGGACAGGTCGCCTGGTCCATGGCAGGGCCAACACGCAGACAAACAACCACACACGCACAAACACACACACACACTCCTACGGGCAATTTAAAGTCTCCCATCAACCTAAGCTGCATGTCTTTGGACTGTGGGAGGAAGCTGGAGCACCCGGAGGGAACCCACACAGGCACAGGGAGAACATGGAGACTCCACACAGAAAGGTCGGAACCTTCTCGCTGTGAGGCGACGGCGCTACCCATATACCTCATTTGTTAAAATAAAAAACGTTCACAGCCTGAAGCTATTTATTCCTTTGTCATGTGAAATCAACTGACGTTTCGGGGTCATTTAGCCTTTTGATTTAGGGTTACACTGGTCGTGGACAGGAGACCTGCGACATACGCCAACGGCCGGACTCGATCCGCTGACGTGCACATACCGTGCCTGTGCACACGGAGCACACTGCGCTTTTGGCGTTTCCCTGGTAAAGAATAAAAACAAAAGGTTGTTTCCTGGATATATTAAAATAATGGTCCAATTACAGCTTTTTCCGTTTGTGCTCAAACAGATAAAATGTTGTATTGTAATAATAATAATTCCTCTGGAAAACATTCATTTACTTGAAAAAAAAAAGAAAAGTTTCTTGTTTTAATTTTTATTTTCTCAGGACATTTTTCATTATCTTAAGTAAAATATCTGTCATCCTGAGATAATGAGATTAACTCTTGCAAAAGGCAAATTATTTAAACAGTTATGCCCGAGATAACTGATTAATGATCAAGATAACAATAAAATAATCATTCCCACCATGACCTCTGAGCTTCCATAGGACACCTCCCTTCTGACAACAAATAGACAAGATGCTAAAATCTGATTTGGCTGCAGTTGTTGAACCCAACAGTCTCACGACCACTTTGATAAACCGGATCAATACGTCTAACTGAAGAGAAATCAGAAGCTTCGACCACCGGGACACAACAGGAACCAACACCCTCGACTCCCACATTAAATACACCCACTGAAATATATCATTCACTTCTGATTCTGAGGATAATATAAACAGCAAACTATTAAAGCTCTTTTTGGAATCTGGGAGAAAAACAGCTGTTTGGCTTTGGCCTTAGTGTCGCTCTGGCGACATGCACGCCTCTGTGCACAGCACTTTTCCTCTGGTGAAGCTGACCAGCATGGGCCCAGGCGTTAACCTGGGATAAGAACAGCCACAGTAAAATGGGTTTTGTTTTTATGTGTCGTGAGAAAAAAATCTCATTAGCATTAATTATGTTTGTATGGAGCCACCGTTTAAAACGTTTAGTTTGATCCTGTAACAGGAAAAGTGATTTACAATCTGAAGACTGCCCATTTTGTTTGTATTAGTTAGCCAGTCGTTTGCGTAAACTAAAATAAGTGCCAAAGGGACATTGAGGTTTTTCTTATTGTTCTCTATGACTCGCAATAATGTTCGACCATCATCAGTGCGATTCAGGAGACAGAAGAGCCCCAGGTTAGCAGCAGCAGTTAGCCGCAGAGGAATCGACTCCAGGGGAAGACCTGGGTCTCACTGCCCCTCGAAAACGTCCGGCTACCGCTGAAAGATTGAAATCATCTAACAAATAATAAATTGTTCAACTAGTTGTTGTGACTGTCAGCCATGAGTAATGTCTGCAGGCTTCGTGACAAGGTGCCAGCCTCTCCGACTTGGAGAAGCCTGACAGACAAAATGCAGGGCAAACAACGTCCTCACATCACCTCTGCTAATGCAGTGAGAAGCGAGGGCTGGAGGTGATGTGCTGTGGGGGTCATGTCCTTGTGTTTCGGAGAGAGAACGGGCCTGACTGCCGTTCAACACCTATTGTGACCTAGAGACCAAAGGAACATAAACATTCTTCCCAAAGCGAAACAGCAGCAGAACCGCCAGGAAGCGGCTCGAATGACAAACAGGCAACCGTGACTTCCAGCCACCCACCCCGAGTCTGACCCACTAACCAGTCTGTGTGGTCCCAGAGCCGCTCAGTCTCTGAGCAGCTGCACAGACTCCAGACTGTACAGAGCTCCCGCTGCTCTGGGAGACTGTAAGCTCTACACCAACATGACCCTATGGCTTCTGTACAGGTGAGAGGAAAAGGCACCAAACACACGGAGGCCACCTGCAGCCAGACGTTTTCACTGTGCAGCAGCTGATCAGGAACGACTGGACTCCAATGGATCCAGCAGAGCCGATCAGCTCATCCTGTCATCTCATTCATCCTCTGCTTTGTAAAATGTTTGTTCTGACTAAAGTGTCCACTGATCGGCTACAGCCGACTCAACTGTGACCGACAACGAACGCCTCCTGTCACTGATGTTTGATTTCTTTTTGAGATTTTCTGTCAGCTCAGACCCTTTTTCAAACAGTGTTTTCTACAAATTCATTATGTCCTTTTGGTTCTGGAGTCACCAGGTCACACGACAACCGAGGCCAGATTCAAAGAGCCTGTGCTTTCTGTAAGCCCTTCTCATTTGCTTGAATAGGGGTGTGTTATGTAGTGGGCACCAGCATCACAAAGGCTCTGCAGAAAAGTTCCATTTGGTTCAATGTGACATCACCTGACAAGGTCGCGTCGACCAATCATGGACATGCAAGTACACATTCCTGCAGGATTAGTTTGTGATGGCCGTTAGATCTTCACCAAACACAAAGCAGCTGTCACTGTGATTACACCAAGGCTCACTGCTTCGCCACAGGACTCAAGTGAATGAGCCATAAACACTGCTCTCTCGTGTTAAAGGCTGTTTCACTTCAGTACTCAGATGAAGCAGTGAGCCTGCTTAAAGTGCCTTAGATTTAGTGTTACTTATCTACTTTATATTTCATTTGTATTTTGTGTCATTCATGTGGACAGCAAAGTAAGGTAGAGGGAAACACGTTTCCTAACTGTGCATATGACAAATCAACACTTTGACCCTTGACCTTCACTTCTACCAACACCTGTGCGGCTACATCTCCGTCAGATCCAAATGCCTGCGGCCCTGTGCGTCTGCTCTCAGGCTGCTTCTTCTGGTACCTTGCACTTATCCAGATAAAGGGAGACAACAGCTTCTGAATACCAAAGGTTGTTGAGCTCTGACACTGTGAAACCACAGGATCTCCACCATGAATTTAAAAAGCGTCCAGATCCTGTATGACTTTTCTGATGTTCTACATGAAACCGAGCTGAAACAACTGCTCTGCTGACAGAAAACGGATTTCCAGCTGTGTCGGTATTAATAGGTTTTGTCGACTGAAGAAAGATGTGAAGACACTGGAAACCTGAGAAGGACATTTTGTCAACTGAACAATGAAAATAATTGACAGGAAATGTGGAGGTGCGACTGTCCTGCTGTAGGTCACAGTGTTTTCTCTGGAGACTGCACAGTGAAAACCCTCGATCTGCAGATCCTCCTCCGGCGGTAACAATAATCAGCGTTCAACACATCATCCCTGGTCAGCATAAGGCCTTTTCTCTGTTCGTTAGTAATGTGAAGAGTTTTAAGGCAGCAAGGGCAACAGACAGGCCGGTGGTCAGGGTCTCTGAGACGCTGCTGCTGCTCCTCCTCCTCCTCCTCCTGCTGCTGCTGCTGCACTGTGAGCTGTTAGTCTGTGTCATAGACGGCGGGGGGAGGAGACACGTCACCTCCCTGAGCTCTGAGGAGGAGGAAAAGTTAGTAATTGGGGGGGGAACCAAAGTTCACCTGTAAAAGGGGAACAACCCCACCGTGACATCACGCACTGGTTTGCTGAAGAGCGTTTTTGTAGCTCAACTCTGGCCACCGCCGTATTGGCAACACTTCATTCCACGTGCTATGGCTAATCCAGAAATGGGCAAAGAGGCAGAGCGTGAGCAGAACTGAGACGGGCTGAATGAAGCTATCTGTCCCGCCTGTCACTCAAAGCAGCCACACCCTTAATTAACCCATAACTATTAGTCCCATTAGAGTTTAAATGGATGAGTTATATAAAATTTCACCCCCATACAGTGTTAGTGGAAGGGGAAATTAGCTAGAGACCAAAACCGGTTTTTGTACTAGGCTGTAAACATGTTTATTTCTGCTGTAAAGTTGGGCATTTTAATGGGAATCTACGGGGACCGACTCCCGTTTGAAGCCAGCCTCTAGTGGCTGCTCGAGGAACAGCAGCTTTTGGCACTTCTGCATTGGTTTCACTTCTCAGCCTCGTTCAAACCAGTGTTTAGAAGAGCTGTCCTCCTCCCTCATCTCCTCCTCCTGAGGGATGGAGCAAGTTCAGAGTTCAGCTGGAAAGCAGCAAAATGAGGAGTCTGCCTCTGCATCACAGACCAAATGTTAGTTTTCAGCTCTAAGGAGGACACTGGATCCTCAGGTCATCCTCTGTGAGGGGGGCTGCTCTTTTATGTCCAGGAGACTGTGATGGAGGGCAGAGGCCGAGCTGAAAGAACTAACCTAAAGAAAAGAAAGCACCTCCTCTTGGCCTCTGAGCCTTCACGTGTTGTCAGATTTCAGGAAGAGGTTTGCACAAGGTAAACAGGTCAGGGTCAAGGGAGGGTAGGTCTAGATGTCAGCAGGCGGTGAATAAGGTTGGACAAGGTTCAGAGGAAGTCTGAAAGAAAGTCTGTCTCCTTTGTGAGATGAGGAAGGGGTCAGGAGGTCAAAAGGTCATGACATCTGAGGGTGGAGGTCTAATATTGAGCCAGAAGAGTTCAGGCAGGTCAGCAAGTCCTGAAGCCCAGAGGAAGTCAGAGGGTCAAAAGTAAAAGAGGAGGCTGGGGGGCAAGTAGAGGTCAGCATCAGGCCAGGGGGAGATTCCGAGAGGGTGGGGCAGAGGTCAGAGAGTCAGGTGGTCTGGAGGAGGTGAGGAGTCTGACAGGAGATCAAAGAAAAACAAAGCAGGACAGTCTGCGTCAACCCGGGAGATTATGCCAGGTGAAGGTTAAGGGAAGCACAGGGTGTACCGCTCGTTAGGTACCCGGAGTGAAAACAACTTCAGAAGTTGTCGAGGAGGTCAGGGGGTAGGAAGGAGGGTGGAGGGGGGCACAGGTCAAGGGAGGTGAGGAGAAGCTGGACTCAGGAGGCTATCAGAGGGCAAGACACCTTTGCAGATAGCAGCTGAGAGAGAGTGAGCAGCAGCAGCAGATAAGTCAGGGTTTGACCTCTGACCCTGCCAACAGCAAACAGGAAGTAAGCACCGGGACACACCACATAGAGAGAGAAAGAGAGAAATAGAGCATGTCACTTCACGAGCACTGACTTTGGCTGAAACGCCTCCATCTGAGCGTCTCTTTCTGTCACTGGCAACGTTGACGATGCTGAGGAAGACCTCAGGGATGAAGAGCTGACACCGGGCGCTTTGGGGAGACTGTACATGTAGACAGCACAAATCACGAGCCCCGCCCCCATCATGAAGAGCAGGTCCACATGGAATGCAAACAGGTAGATGGATGTCACCGTGGAGACAATGATAGAGAAGGAGGTGGCAAAGCCCTTCAGGATGTTGTCAGCGTACTTCACCACCACGGCCACCAGCAGCCCGCCAAAGGCCTGGTTGAAGATGACACACCACACCATGCCAGTGTAACCAAACAGGAAGCCACGCTCAGCGATGGCAGGGCCATCGTTCCACCACATTCCCAGCAGGCCGAGCACTGTGCCGAAGATCCCCAGTTGCACGTTCCTCATCCAGACAGAGGCCGAGCTCCCCTTCAGGATCTTCTCAAAGTAAACACCAGCAAATCCTGATGACAGGCAGCTGATCACTACAGCAATCAGACCCACCGTGTAGTTCTGATTGGCGCTGTTGGCCACTGACGCCTCCTTGTTCCCCTCCTGTTGCACCTACAGAGGAAACAACCAATCAGCAGAGGCAGGGTCAATGGACTGCTGCAGTGATGATGCAGTTTTGTAGGCAACCCGGACGTTAGTGTCGCCCTGGTTTCCTCGACAAAAAGACAAGGAGATTTTTCCACAGGCTTTTGGATTATTGCAGAAAATGAGCTCTGTGACAAACAACGCTGTATGACACATGGATGTTTTGTTCAGCAAAACAGGTGAAAACCACTGTTATGATGTTTGAAGCCTGAATACGACCGGCAGCAGTAAAAAGCTACTGTGAGGCTACAAACGAACTGCACCACAGTCCCATGACCTCAACGTAATCTGATTTCTAGCGCTTACCTCTTCTACAGACTCCTTTCCTCTCGCTAGTGGCTGTGTCACTTAGACTAGTGCAGGAGTTTAAACACAACGAGGCTGGTGAGTAGGGTTTCGGACTCCAAAAACATCATGGTGTATAATATTACAGCTATTTTATCAGCTGTCTCACTGTAAAGGTAGCCTACTCTGTTACAAGGAGGAGTCCTGCACTGAAGATGTTCTCCAGACCTCCTGACTCTCAGAACCTCCTCCTCCACTTGTAAAACTTCAGCAGCCAGTGTCCTCGGGTCCCAAGCGAGTAGAAAGTGTAATTAAAAGGAAAGGTGAAGTATCACAGTGGTAAACTAGCCTCTGTCCCAACCTTTGTTGAGTGCTCTAGGCATCCAATTCTACATTTGCGTATATTTACAAAATGCAACTACGTTGGTCAGTGATGCCACTGAAAGCCCTTCCTTTGCACTTTTGTCAGTTAAATAAATGCTCAATCACAGATTTTAGTTTTTACTGAATTTTGAAAAATGTCCCAACTTTTCTGGAAATAGGGTTTGAAGTTTAGAATTCCATCAAACAACTGAGAATCAAAATTGGGTGACTAGAGAGACAGGACAGGTGAGCTGCAGGTGACACAACATACCTGTACGACGGCAACACCGATGAACAGCAGCAGCAGAGAAAACCACTGAACTTTGGACAAAGACTTCCTCAGCATCAACACACTGAACAGAGCTGTGGTGAGGATCTTCAACTGATAGGTCACCTGAGGAGGAAGAGGAGTGTTCCACACTTTATTAGGACTTAGACCCTAACCCTGTGCCAAACTGAGGCAGTCCAACCCAGCAGTCCTGCAGTAAATCCCTCATGAAGGTGATGATGTTTAGACTGGGTCACAGAGCTGCTGGTTCTCATGTGTGGTCACTGTTCAGCTGTGCTGTGTTACACTGACAGCTGGTTCTGGTGGTTAGCCTCACTGACGTGAATGGGGTAGACTAAATAACACAATCATTTGTCAGAATAAGTAACAGATGTACAAGTAGGGCTCATCGTCTGAAGAGCAGCCACAGGGTCAGGACATTGGTGCTGTAGTTTGGTAGCTGTAGAACTGCACACTGACCTGGAAGGTGGCGGCCGGCAGGTTGGAGATGGCCACGTACTGCAGGTTGTTCTGCAGAGTGTAGATGAGTGAGGGAACTGCCAGTTTCAGAGTGTCTTTGTACTGAAACACAATGGAGTCGAGCAGCAAGAACGCCGTCTCCTTCACATTGACTGCAGGGACAACACAGACACACAGTGGTGATGTTGTGTGCGAATGAGCCGGGACACATTCTGTCCACAGTCACTTCAGGAAAAGTCTGGATTATTTGCTCCTGAATGTCTGAGCCACAGCTGGAGGAAGAGCTGCTTTAAATCCAAACACTCACTTCTTCCACCAGCACTGTGAAGGTTTCAGAGTGTGTTCAATTATGACATGAACTATTATAACGTATGTGTGGTACTAGCTTGGGCACATTGTGTCTTGTATCAGCTGTGCTCACTGCACAGGTCCACTGGTTTCTGCTGGCATCTGTATATGAGGATAATTCTACCAGCTGGAATTATTTATTTGTCAGGAAGCATGTTTTGTAGCAGATGTAGCTAACCACTAACTTCCATCTGCAGTACCTGAGCAGGTAAATACATGGATAAAAACACATTCATTCAGTACCCCCAGCACATGCACACACTCCCTGTCTCCCCTCCAAGCTGTGGCTTTCTCCCAGTCAGATACAAAATGAAGGAGCCACTGTTTTCTTCCAAAGCTTCTTGTACAGATGCTACAGTGTCCGTGAGCGTTGAGCCCGGCGCTCTGTACGGCACATGGTCATACACAGAGGCAATTCAAAGCACTTAACGCAATGCACACAGATAAAATGAAGTTCAACACACTGTGTTCAGGTAGTAGATCACAGTAATGACAATGTTGTGGTTTCCTGTCAAGGATTTCTACAGGGACCTGATTGGCTCTAAAGCTGTTTTCTGGCCTGAGACTACATCACAGTCCGACACAATAACATCAGTGTATAAAGACACACTGCTTGATGCCTCAACACCGAGTCCATCCATCATCTATACACTTATTCCTGAATAGGGTCACGGAGGGCTGGAGCCAATCCCAGCTGACACTGGGCGAGAAGCGGGGTCCATCCTGGACAGGTTGCCAGTCTGTCACAGGGCTGACATGTAGACAAACAATCACACACACTCCTACTGGCTATTTAGAGTCTCCAGTCAACCTAAGCTGCGTGTCTTTGGACTGTGGGATGAAGCTGGAGTACCCAGAGAGACTCCACACAGAAAGGCCCTGGGTCGGCACCGGAACCTTCTTGCTGTGAGGCAAAAGCAATGACCTCTGCGTCACCACGCCGTCCCTGAACACTAAGTACAATTCAAATGTCTGTTGCATTCTGGGAGCTGTAGTCGACTTCTCGCTGTCAGTGACACCCCATGTATGTTTACTGTGTGTGATGCACTCACCTCTCTTCTGCAGCAGGATGATGAGCAGACACGTCAGGACCTTCAGGACCTCCGCCATGACGACAGCTGACGTTGTGAAGAAGCGGTCGCCTGGCAACGTGCGGACATATCGGATGCTGAGGATGAGCGATGCATTCTGGACCACCAGCACAGCCAGACTGATGTACTTCAACCTCCTGTTGACTGCAGGAAACGGCAAACACACACATCAAACCTCCAAGCTGACACAATACGAGTCACGGCTAACACAACATACATTCATGTTCAAGGGTCTGAAAGGATGAGTTTTTGTTAGTTTCCACCATTCCCATCCAGAGATGTCTTCTTTTTTTTAACAAACACCTCAGACACCTTGTCCTGTGCAGCGAGGAGCCGGGGGAGCAGTGTGACCAGAGCAGAGACCATGGTGTTGTTCTCAGCCTGTTGGAAACAAGACGCCTCCCATGTTTCCCTGAGGAGGAAACCTGCCCCCCAGTGCAGCGGTGAGGCTCACTGGGCGGGTCTAATAGCTGGTGGACAACAGTGGAGGTCTACAGCACAGAGCGATAAGCAGGACTAGGGTCTGGACTCACACACATTACGATGAGGACACCACGTGCACTGGTGCTGCTGGTCTCTGGACGGGGTTGGTGGGGATTCAAACAAACAGAGAAAATCACTCCTGATCAAAATTCATCTCCTGATCAAATACTCTTTAGTTAGCTTTTCATGTGGTCTGACTGTCTCTGCTGTCCTCACAGGACTTGTTGTCCAAAAACATATTCTGGTTGATCAGTTTGCATTAGTATTTCTGTCCACATTTCATTCCTGTTGATCCAGTTCCACTGCTTTAACTGGCAGTTAATTCCTTAACTCACCTGTTGGCTTCTGTAATGGCATTTTTAAGTATATGCATTTATATTGTTGATATACATATTAAAGTATAGTCTGCTAATGATTGTGGTAACTAACTGTGGTAACCTTTCACACATTGGACAAGTGAACTTTGTTCTCTGCTGAATCACTGAATGCCTAAAGTATCTTTGTTTGCTGGATGAAGCAACTGTAACGTCCACAGGCCTTGAAAGTATCTCGTGTGAACCTCTCAGTGTTGTGCCAATTAGAAACTCTTTGAACACAGAAGCACAATTGTTCTCAGTGAACCCTCCTTTTGTGTGACGTTATCTTCTGTCTTACATTGAAGTGGTTCCTGTTTATCCTTGGAGTCTCTGTAACAAGCATCCTGGTGTGTGTTGTAGACAACTCCTTTCTGTAGAAACCTGAAGACGTCTCCATTCTCAAATCTCTTTATTTCTCACTCACTGCTGGTTGTTCATTACTATCAAGGAAATTCAGTTTTTTCCTTAACAGCTTCACATCACTACAAGAGTATAATCATTGCAAACATGTCACCCTTTTGTTTTTATTGTCATGCCACAGGGAGCAGCCTGATGTGGTCACACCTGGAATGTGGACAAACCTTCAGACACAAAAACCAGAAAGGTGCGTGCGCTAGTAGAATAAAGGTGTGTTGCCGTAAATGTACAGGTGTGCCCAGGCTATTAAACAAGGTGTGACTGTTCTTGTAAATTTGTCTCTGTGAGGAGATTTACACCTTGGCAGAGAGGACATGTTGTCCAGGCCTCAAAGAGCTGCTTGAGGGATCAGACCTGGTTGTAGAGTTCAGGTTACTGACCACAGACTTTACCTGGACAAACCGGTTTCTACACCTACAATCATACTGGTTATTACTTAGCATTAGCTGTCGAGGTTCGGCCTCTGTACAGTACAGCAACAGCACTACCTGCCACTAGCGGTTAGCTGCTACCGACTAGTTTTACACTGAAGTTAGAGAAGAGAGCCTGTACATCAGGTTCCAGCTCAGCATGCTAACGCTTCCATTGCCTTAGTTTAAGTTAAAACGACGGCACTGGCTTTACTTAAGCACCTGACATGACGTCGGACACTGTGGACACTAGTTGATTATCCCCATTATGCCCGCTAAGTTTGGTTGGCTGGGTTAGCCGCTAGTTAGCTAACGTTAGCCTCCGCTGACACAAACCAAGACATTGTCTTTATTGATTTACAGTTTTCTACAGAAAATAATTAAAATACGTTGAAAGTCTTTTTCAGCCCTTTCATCAAGCAGTTCTGGACATGTTGGGGCAGTGTGAAGCTCCTGGCTCTCTCTCCCCGGCTGCACTTACCATCACTCTGCCCTAGGCTCGCTGCCTTCTGCTCCGCCGCCTGGCTGTGGCTGCCTCCGGCCATACTGCGCTCCGTGTGCCCGTCGTCCGGACGAGCCCCCAACCAGCAGGCTACCTGGCTAACGCTCTGCTGTTCTCGCAGCTATCCTCGGCTCACAGTTCAGACGCAGCCGGAGCACGACCTCCGGTTAGATACCCGTTAACGTGTGAGGCTGCGTGTCAGTCAAACTGACGTTACACCGCCGCAGGGGTACGAAGACGGCGGAGGAAGCACCGGGACCGTCGGACTGAAAAGCATCCTGGAAACACTGCGGTGGAGCTGAGGTGTCCAGGAAGTGAAGGAGCGATAGGAGCCACGGTCTGACAGGAGGTGTCACTCTGAGGGAAAAAGCTTGCCCGCTCTAAATAAACGTGTCACACTACTGCAGTACACCAAGCAGTTATAAAACAAAAAAGTACTACCCGCTCCTACTCTGTGCCTGTTGCCACTACGACCCGACCCCGTATAAACTGAGGATAATGGAATGGAAAAAATGTATTGCCATTTGAATAAAGAAGAAAAAACTCAATAGATCATATTGTGTATTATTAAAGAGCCCATGGCACTTTTCCTCATTTTTTGACTTATCTACAATGTTATGAAGATGAATGATCCTCTTAGACGTGACCTAAAGCTCAAAAAATGAGCTGTTCGCATGTTCTAGTATTTCTATGCAGAAGCAACTCGGTTTATACACGTCTCGCAAACTCTCATTGACAAGAATTTTTTTTTCTAACAAAATAAAGTCTTACGTGATAGTTTAAGGATTTCATTGAATGCTAGTAATCATCAGGCCGTTGCACGTTCATGTGAGCTTGCCTGAGATACACAAGTGCCCCCACCATACTGGCAAAATCTTATATTGCCTTGTTTCTTATGTATGTTTTCAATAAAGCTTATTTTTGAAAGAGCCTGAGGTTACTGCATGTCTGGGAATGTTCTTGTACTGGGACTGGCTGTTTTCCCTGGCCAGGTCCGACCTACAAGCATCTGGCCTGTGAAGCCTCAGCGGTGGTTAATGATCAGCTCATCAACGCTGGATTCCCCCAAAGTTGTTTTGACTGCTTGAGGCCAGGTGTGTCGGGCACACGAGGAATTTGACTCTGGTACATCGGATCTCAATGTGCATGTACTTATCCCTATGCAAGGGGCAAGTAAACAGTAAACCAGCATAAGATTGTGTAAGATAACAAAATAAGCAGTATAGACAGGAAGTAAACAATGCAGACAGACAAAGGAATGTTCATTGTGAAACTCATTGTTTTTAAACGTGTTTAAAAACACACATTGCGTGTTAATGCCTTGTTTCTGTAACGTTAGAGAGACTTGTTGTAAGGCTGGAGAAGTTACTATGTCTGCATTATGCCAGTTAAATTATGGGGTTTCTTAACTACCCGCTTTGTTTAGAGTGTTACACATCTCTTTTCTATACTGCTGTTTACCAAACTATGGAGGAGACATTCAAATCAGTTAATGCTGTTGTGGTTCATTGTGCTGTCCACTTGTGACACAACACCAGCAGCAGGAGTTGTGCGCATTCATGAACTTTCCTCTCATTTTTAGGAAGAGGCTCTCTGGTGTTATCATTCTGAAATAATAACAGACTATTTGGACTTATGATGGGTGCCAAGCTAATCTAGAATTACCCAAGATTCAACATTGGATGGCTGGAAACGAGCAAAATGAGCAGCCATGGGCACTTTAATGTGAATCTGCAAAATAAAGGAACTAATTTAATTTAATTTATTTGTTTATATAGCACTTTACAACACCCAAGGGTGCTCAAAGTGCTTCACAACAAAACACTGAGCCTCGGGGAACACTCAAGGAAAGAGGGGCTATTGTAGAGGTAGAGTTGTTGATCACAACTGAAAAGGTCCCATTGGACTAAACTGCATAAACTGAAGTGTAAACTGTGACAATGAGCTCTGATATAAATAGACAGAGTGAGACCTCCTTATCTTCATCTTCTCTGATCCTACTTCCGTGATCTCCTTCAGGTCGAATAGGGATGAATTCTATTGGCTGGTGGGTGAGTTGCGCCCACCTGTCACCTGCTGGTTAAGCCTGAATCAAGGAGGACAGTCTCAGAAAGGTTTTTAACTCAGTCTTTTGTAGCTAATATTAGCATGTTAACATTAGCAAGCTGTGGAAAACATTGAACATTTGACAGCTGATGTGCTGATGAAGATGCACAAAGTTTCAACAAGCAACGTTATTTTTTTTTTTTTTGCAGGTTTCAATGTTGTGAAAAGCCTGAACAGCCTTATCAATGTTTGAAAGCCACTATCAAATTTGTGTTTGTTTTTAATTGCAATAAAATGCAGATTTACAGTTTTACCCGCCCACACACACATAGTCCACCTCACACCAGGTCTAGGTCCAAAACCACTACACTTGTCAAAGCTGGACTAAGGCTCTGCAGTTTAGAGCCAAATCTCTACATTTTAAAACCTTTAATTCAGTGAAGTGAGTTTGTTGGTTCATGGTTATGGGTTTAATTTACAATTCTAATGCTTTTTGAGGTACAACAATAGGATTTCTTCATATTTCCACAGTCGGCTACATTTGGATCAGTGAGATGAAGCTTAATGTATTAATTTCTTCATTTTATACACTAAAGCAGCTGATTTCAAAGCCTAGGATCTTTCCTTTTGTGTAGTTAAACACATTTCAGCTCTGCCTTCAATAACAATTTGGGCTAAATAACAACATCTAAGTGATTTGGGAGGAAACTCTCTGTTGAGGTTTTATGGAGCAAATGATTAATCATGAGAATAACTGATGGTTTAAGTAATAATAATAACAACAACAACGGGAGGAAGTCCCCTACATCCAGTTGATTCTGAGATCCTGTTTTTGTGGATGAACACAAATTAAACCAGAGAAGTGAGTCACAAACACAACAGAGTCCAGACACCATGTAACAAAGCAACAAAAAATTTTATTCGGATGTCGGATCTTTAAATTCTTTTGATCCATAGATTCCTATTTAATGTAAATAAACAGAAACAAGTGTGCGAGGAGCCACTTCCATCATTCTGTTCCAGAAAATACACAAGTATTTACAGTGACGTCAGAAACAGGCCTGACCTACTGAGGAAACTCGGACGTCTGACGTTTAAACCCAGAGATCAAACTGAACTCTGACAAAATAATAAATATCTTTGTTCTAACATTAAATTAAGACTCAGCCTTTAACCTCAAACTCAACAGTTAGAAGTAAATGTGACCTTGGAGCTGAGAACCTGAACAGAGGTCAGACTGCTCTTTACTGGACACTGAGGCTTTACTTTTCACGCCCTTCCTTTCCAAAGAACTTCCTGGAAATGTTCACAGTAACTTGGGTGAGTATAATAACTTTGTAATTCTCAGGATGTTTCCTTGGACGTAAGGAAAGTGGAGAAAGTGACGTTGGCAGGTGGCTGACCAGCTGGATGAAACAAGAGGTCAGGAGAGTTGAAGCAGAGTCTGGATCCAGCTGAGGAAAAATTACTGTAAAAAAGTAAAACCAGTCTAATCAGTGACTGGTGAAGCTTCCTGACAAGTGGCGTCTGCACAGGAGCAAGGCGACACATGGACAGGATCATAACCAACACCCAGACTTTGTGTCTCATATGTAAAAATGTGTCTTTCACTTGCGTTTATCACATAAATCTTTTGCGGATGATGGCGTTATTTCGTTCATTCCTCAACTGAGAGAAATAACAGAAACTGTTCTCAATCAATTCTAATGTATTTATGCCATGTTGTTGTTTTGTTTTTAAAACAAAGTCACCTGGTTCCAGTTTCTCACTGGGAGGATTTACTGTGAATTAGTCACAAGCAATTTTCACCACTTCTCACTTTTAATTAGCCGAGTGATTCACAGCTGTGAATGCCCGTGTTATGTCATATCATGTGATCTCACTGTCACAGCTGTCCTTTGTCTCTACCTGGTGAAATTCTACATGCCAACTTTTCTGGGAGCATCTTCCAGCCTGACAGCTCTGCACACACCTGGAACTGAAGAACAGGACCAGCTAACACTTTCTCCATTTTTCTAACTGGCGACCAGCAGCAGAAAAGTACTGGCAACATTTCCAGACAATCATCAAGATTACGGTAAAGGAGCCCTAAAATAAAGTCAATTACTGGACCGGCAAACTGAAGCACACCCCGAGTTCTTTGAAAAAAGAAAACATACACCTCGTGATGGCAGCCTGCATCTTCAAAAATAAATAGTTTGCTCAATAAATAACCCAACATGTCAGAAATCAGACATGGCTGCCAAAGCCACTGTGTTCAGTAGGACACAAACAGGGAACAGCGGCTGCACAGTTACAGCTTCATCAGGTGTGAGATTCATGTTGTCCCTTTAAACACGTTACCTTTGTTGGTGCATTCGAGGAGCTTTCAGAGTCGGCAGCCTCGGATGCACAAACCATGATATAAAAACAAAACCGCAAGCTGTGGATTCACTGTGACGAGTTTTCTGTCCCTGGGGGCTGGTGTCGCCGCCCTGCTGGTTCAGTCCTACACAGCCTGACTGGAAGAAGATGTGCAAAAACAAAACACAACAGTCCGAGTGGTGAGGATGTGACGTTGAGCCTCATGAGTCCAGAGACCTGAGCACTTATGGTTGTGTTTACTGTGAGTCTAGAGCCCTGTGTGTTCAGGGTTGTGCAGTTAAAGGGAATGGCAGGGCAGGGAGCTGTGGTCCTCCTGCAGGTCCCCCCCCTCCTCCTCCTCCTCCTCCCCTCCCTTCATCCAGGGGTGAGACAGGATCTCTTCCAGGGTTGGACGCTCCTCCGGACGGTAAGACAGGCACCAGCGAATCAGGGACTGGCATTCTAGGAAGAGCAGTGCAGATCCGAGGTGAGTGGAGTTTGATTACATGGTTTTCATATGTACAGTGGTGGGCGGGGCCTGTGCTCACCTTTAGAGATCCGCCTGGTGAAGATGGGCGCAGCCCCAATGATGTCCTGGTCACGCTCAAATGGGATGTCGCCGCAAACCATGTCAAAGAGCAGAACCCCCAGAGACCAGACAGTGAGAGAGACAGCTTCATAGGACTGAGACAGAATCCACTCAGGAGGACTGTAGACCCGGGTACCTGAGGACAGAGGATGCAAGGAGACAGGCAAGGGAAGGAGAGTTATCAAACTGGAATGGTTAAAGTCTACAGCTGCAGCTAGCACTTATCCTCTTAATCACTTGATCTGCTACCCTACCCCAGTTGTCAAGCTTTATAAGAGCAACCTAACAGATCAATTGTCATTGACAAGGCCCCGCGGCGCCCCCAGACCAGGAGAGAGGAAAGAGTTAATGACTGTGTGCTGTACCTTCGAACTCGCTGTATGGCGCGTCTTTGAGCGGTGCTCCTGACCCAAAGTCAGTAATCTTGACTTCGAGTGTCCTGGTGTCGACCACAATGTTCTCATCTTTAATGTCTCTGTGCACGACACTGTGAGCATGTACGAACTGCAGCGCCTCCAAGATCTGTCGGAAAAACCTAGATGAAGCACACGGAGCTTTAATGTGCTGCACAGGACAGAATAAAGTCCAGTAGATAAGAGTAGAAGAGAGGAGAGTAGAACCTGAGTGCAAGGCGTTCCGACAGCGCTCCTCGCTCTGTGATGAAGTCAAACAGGTCCTGACACTGTGGAGGCCGCTCCAGCACCAGCAGGAAGCCCCGGCCTTCCACCTCGAACCAGTCCAGCATGGAGATGACCCCCTTGTGACCCCCGACCTCTGAAAGCCGCTGCAGCAGAACAATCTCCATGGGCACAGGGCTGAGCTCGCCGGGCTGGGGGTCAGAGAGGAAGGTTAGACATCATCACCACTGTACTCTGTACTAATACTCCATTAATACTGTTTATTAGTCCATTAGTAGTACTGATACTCTAAACCCAGACCTTTGGACTGGTTCATGCAGTTAAATACTGATCACTAGCGTGATTACTGACCACAGCATTTCCACAGTGTTCACCAGGCAAATATTTATTTTGAGACATATAATATATTTCTATATTTATAAGTGCTTTAATTTTATCTTCCTTTTTCTTGTTGGCACATTTTTCTATTTTTTGTTCTCTCAGTCGTGTTCACTTGTTTCCAGATGACGTTATGTCTGAGCAACAGTCCAAAGCCCAAAGATTTAGTTTTAAAAAAATGAAAGGTGTTTTAGGATTTATGCATAAAAACTGTCACTGACTTATTTTCTGTTAATCAACTTACTGGCTAAAAATGTTGGACCTCTGTTTAAAAAGTCTCTGGTTTCTTAATGAGCTGCTAACGCTGACACACTTCAGGTTCACGCTGTGACTCAGACCTGTTATGGTCATGTGTCAGAAACTCCACTGGGTGTTATTTAGCCCAGAATCGCCATCTGTGGGTGTATTCCAGGTGTTTTTGTGGTGGTGGCGGTGGCGGTGGGGGGTGCACGGTGTTGTTTACAGAACCGTGATGTCACAGAGGACAGCCCCCACCCACAGCTGTGATACACGTGTCAGTCCAGCAGAGGGAGCGCTGACGTCAGGTCTGTTTACAGACCCAGGTGAGAATATTCATCCACATCCCTGATGTGTCACAGCTTTTCTTTCACAGTAGGCTGAATTGATGTGGGTTCAGACAGTCTGCCCAAAGATAACACCGTTTCACCCTAATCTCAACCAAGAATGAAAATAATTGTTGTGTCACTCACCAGTCGGGCCCACTGCTGAACTCGGTCACTGGAAATCTGTTTAATGGCGACCTGGACACACAAACCACACACACGGGAGAAAAACCTTTAGTCAGTGTCTGCTCAGTGCTGGTACAGTGATGACTGGGTTTGAATAGAAAACCATGAAGAAGACAGTGTCTGACCTGCAGTCCATCCGAGAGCCTGTGGCCAGAAAACACTGAGCCAAACCCGCCGCTGCCGAGCAGAGACCCACAGCGATACTGGCTGCAGAAGGGCTCCTCCACTGGGACAGAAAACACACCAGCTCACAACCATTTTATACACACACACACGGTAACAGGTCGAGGGTGCGGGTCATTTTGACGCTCTCTGCTTGTGAGACACAGACTATTTCCAAGACAAGTGTCTCCATGTGCCGATGAAGTCGGCAGCATGCGGCTAAAGGTAAACGACCGGGCCGCCTCCACCTGTTCCCAGAGACACCACCATGACCAAACGTTTGTTATGTTCCCCGGGACACCGGCTGACACAGCTGGCCGAGGAGCTCTGGGCTCGGGCAAAGACACGGGAACGGGTCGTGTCAGGCTCTGGGAAACTGCAAAAAGCAGGAAATCCTGCAAATACTAATCCCCAAAATGAGCCGATCCATCTCGACGAACAGCCAATTGTGTCAACAACTGTACTGTTGTGTTCTTGTGTCGCTTCCATTTAAAAGTTTCTGATTCATTATAAAAAGATTCAGATTCATAAAAGCCAGCAAACAAAACCAAAGTGCATTAAACCAGGGGACACGGGAATGTTGGTGACAACATGTTGTGTTGGCGCCCAAACAAACAAACATCAACACAAACTACACTGTGCTGTCGCCGAAGTCTGACGCTTTTCTCTCAGTTTCACGGAGACGATTAAAATAAGTGTCCATTTTATCGCGTCTGGAATAAACTGGGGTTTTCAGATGAAAATGGTTTGATCGTTTATATTTTGTATGAGCGGTTTAGCCACTGTTAAGACTAAACTGATAAACTGAAATGAAAACGGTGTCGCTAAACCTACCGACGGCTGTGACGTGTAAAAATCGTTATTTTTTGAATGGAATCCGGTTTAGCCAGTAGTAAACCGGTTCGTCGGTATGTGGAACTAATCTCTCCTCCACTGTTCACCTGCTTTATTTGGCACAAAGAAAGCCAGTTTTAGCGTCCTACCGTTCTTTCCTCTGACCTCCTTCTCCAGATGAATCTCCACTATGCTGTCCAGCATTTTCTGGAAGTTTTCAGTTAGCTGAAGCTGATAACATCCATCGTGACGTTGGTCGAATTCCTCCGTTAGTCCCGTTGAACCCTTTTCAATCTTAAAGCGACCGATGCTACCGGTTCTCCCCGCGTCCTTCCCGCTTTTAAAGTCCAATTCCAACAGATATCACAATGAAAGCTACTTCCTCCCGGTAGGGTCGTTTAAAAACATTCCATTACCGAGTATTTCAAATAATCTTATTAACTCCGGTCAACTCTGCTTCACCTTTATGTTTTTGTTCTGTATTTATGTGGCGCCTGACCACGCCCCCCACCTTACTGTCCAATCAGCACTGAGACGTGCTCAATGTTTTGAACCGTCCTGCCAATCACATTCAAATACCGCGAAAGGAATTCGTAGAATTCAGAGCAACGAGAAAATGAGCGCGCGCTGACGGGAATCAGAAACACACAAACCAACGGTTGTGGTACCTCTATCTTTGTGGGGACCAGCATTAACATATTACTTTTCCCTTGTAAGGTTTAGTGAGGTGGTGGTTGCAATACCAGGCTTGACCGGTACAATACTCCGGTTAGAGAGTCTCGAGTCATCACATTAACCATGACTCTTTATTTCTTGAGAGCAACAAACATAGGGTGAGGATATAATTCACAACATCCCTAGCTTGTCACCTTAAGCATAGACATCACAACTAAATGTTTAAACCCAACCCTGACTTAAACCCTAACCTAAACCTGTTTCTAATCTGAATCTGAATCTTCAAACTGCCCTGTGAGGACTCCCTCTTAATATTTCCCTGGCTCAAACTGTTGCCCCCAACACCACAGTGAAACACTGCTTCCTGAAAAGGGAGGCAAATTAAAGCTCTTCTGAAAAATGGATCCGGAGACAATAGGCCCCTGTGCACAGACACGTAAAAGGCCGCTATCCCTCTACACTGGAGCAGTGCTCATGTTTTCTCCATCCGCAGTCATTTTGTGTCTATTTGTAGCGGTTTTATGCCTTTGTTGTATTTTACTGACCCTTTGTGGTTGTTTAAGTCTCTCTGTGGTCATTCTTTGTCTTTTTGTTATTCTTTGTGTCTTTACAGAATATTTCTGACTCTGGTTGTTATGCATCATCTCTTTTTGGTCATTCTGCACCTTTTTGTACTCACTTTGTGTGTCTGTAGTATGTTTTTGTGCCTCTGTTGTTTTGAATCTGTGGTCACTCTGCATGTCTTTGTCGTCTTTTTCAAGATAAATGTCAACAGAGGCTCTGGAGGGGCCCTCTAAACGGGAGCAAGCTTCTCTGGTGTGAAGGGAGAAACAGGATGCTCTTCTAATAACTGAGCAGCTCGGTTTCCTCTTCCTCTCACACTCAATGTGTCATTACAAGAAGCTGACACATAGTCAAGACCAAGATGATAGCGTTCAGCAGAAGTGGACCATGTGTCACGTGGACGAGTATTCATTCACACCTGTCAAGCTTTTGTGAAATGGTACTAAAGGATTTAGCTGCATCGCAGGCATCAGGTGCACACAGTTGTATGCCACATTCATAATGTGTTGACTGTTAAAGTGAATACAGACCCAGTAGCAGTGACTTCACATACATCACAAACACTGTGAGGTTGGAAAAACACTGTTCAAGGCTAAATCAGACACAAACGCTAAAAGAAAAGAGAGAATAAAATAGAAACTACAGTGGAGGCTAAAGATAGAGCCATGTGCTGATACAGATCGCACGACAGACCACACACTGTACTGTGCTAATAACATGCTCCATTTGAACCCGTTATTATCAGAAATGTTATTCCTGGTGTTTGCTTTGTTGAATTTTTGCTTGTTGACCTGTTGCAGTGTTTGTATGTGTAGCTCACCTGCTGTGCTCCAAATAAAAGGCCAGGCTGTTGGAGCTTAGCATTTAGATTTGTACTATGTACCAACAGTTCACTCTCAGTTTTACCTGTAATGAAATGGTCTGGGTCTTCCCAGGAAACATCTCAGGACATTTGGACATTAAAGCATGCACCCATAAAATAAACACGCTGTTTCCACAACATCTCATCCAGTAGGATAATAATGTTCTGCTTTGATTGACGCTGTCAGTGAGTCACTAATCTATTATTATTCTTCTTCATTTATTTATTTACATACAATACATCATGCCGCGGCAGGTATGAGGGGGAAGAATGTTAGAAATCTTTATGCTGCCTTGCTACAAAACTATCTTCCTTTTTTAGAACAACAAGGATGTGAAGTAAACTTAATACTCTAATTTTTTCCTTTTTTGGTTTGTAAAATAAAAACTAGATCCCTATTTGTGTTTACAGCATGCACAGAGTTGTATATTTATTTAGGGTTTACTTAGGACACGTTTAGATGGATTACCAAGAAAACCACCTGAAGTTCTGAAGACTACCTTAAATGTTATTTTTAGAACTTGTTACGGATCTCTGCTATGTTTCTATTAAAAATATGTTGCCAAGTAAAACACTGGAGAAGCTTTGGACCTTCAGACACACCAGGGAGCCCTACCTCCTTCTGATGACATGTTCAAGTACAGTGGGACAGTCAGCGATGGCTCAAAAACACCAAACATTTCAGTTTAACTGAAGAACAGTTGGTTTCGTCTTTGTTTGTTTTGAAATGGTTAAACGCATTGGTCAGTTCAGTCATTCATTCATTAATTCATTCATTAATTAAAAAACTGTCAAAACTGTAGGTTAACTGGGCTTGTATATGGAATCAGCCTTCACACCACTTTCACTGTACACATCCTGTGAGTTAACACAAACTAAATCAGAACATACAAATTTTAACTGTATCAGTCTGTATCTAAAGACACTCTCTGGAAACACCCAGCATCATCTGTGATCCCACAGGGGAACCGGGTCCCACATTCTCCACAGCAGATCCAGGCTCCGTGGCTCTGGTCTCACTTTGTCTCCATTAGATACTTCGCAGGATCTGCAGGGATGATCACTGGTTTGATTCTAGTGAACTTTAGGTTTTTTTCATGGCTTTCCTTGTGTATTTAATTCATTGGCTGACACATACTCACTGCATTGTCTTAAATATATTTAGGTGACAAAAATGCTACAAATGTCTGTGCTATGACTCATGATTTCATGGCAGTGGTAGCTCAGAAACATCTGAGTTCACCACAGAGAAATGTCCCATTCTAGCTTGAATGTTATGTGCTAATTTAGCAGATGCAGGACATTCATGCAAAAGCTTTTCCCCACAAACTGTCAAGTGTTCCGTTAAAATATACTGACTACAAGTCAAAGTGTTAATAAAATGCAACATTCTACACCCAGTTTTGGTGTTGTACCCTTATTACCAAAAGGGCTTCACTTGCAAGTTCTGGGACCAGTGACTTTTTGAATTCTTCTTCCTCCCATCGTCATCATTTAAGACCAGTTGTTGTGTCATCCACAACCATCCATGATCTACACCACTTATCCCAAAGAGGGTTGTGGGGGTGGCAGGAGTCAATAGTGCCCGAGATGTAAAACCTTATTTGTCCTATTTTACCTCACTCCACCCTAATCTGCACCGCTTTAATTTTAGAACTGTGTAACCAATTTTTGTGGTCATGTTGTGTCCCTTTGCGCTTGTTTTCTGATCGATATGCCAACAAAAACTTTTCAAATAAGAAATGTTAACAGGGACTTCAGGCCTTAGACACAGGGGATCCTAGACACCCCGGGCCCTGTTCAGTATCCAAACACAAAAAAGCACTGAAAGAAAAGGTGTGACATGGAAGACAGGCGAAGGAAATTGGGAGGCATTAAGTAGGTTTGTGTGCAGAAGCAATCGCCCAATCATGTTTTTCAGAAACATTTTCCTCTTTTTATTCCAAGAAAAAAAAAGGTATTTTCATCCCAAACAAGAAAATAAAACAAAACAAACATATTATTAATAATAACAACAATAATCAATCATTAAGGGGATAAGTATGACAATTCTCTATTTTCTCTTCTTATTTGTCACTTTGTCTCTATGATGATATTGGTCATGGTCAATTAAACATGCAGCTAAATAAGTCCAATGATGCTGATGGAGGTGGCGGAGTAGAATGAGGAGGAGGAGAAAGAAAAATGAGAAAGGAGGCGGAATTGTTGGCTGTGTTATAGCTCAGATAACAACAGAAAGGAAATGTGTGTTGGTCGACACAAAATGGCTGCCAGTGGAAGCTGTGGAAACAGTGGGGGACATGATTTTTCTATTGGTGGCTAAGCTAGCTGTAACATAGCTTGTTAGCAGTTTTAGAAAACCTGGAAACCACATGAGCTAGCTTTAAAATATAGTAAGACTTTAAGGTGATAGCTTGCTTCTTAAAGAGCATGCTAATGTAACCTATACGCCACAGACTGGTTATCACTTTATCAGCAGCTAAGCTTAAAATGTAACACTTTGGGTGCTGTGGACTAAGTTAGAGAATACTAACAGAGCTAACAAGTTGCAATGCCGTTAGCCGTTTGCTGTTCATTATTACTCCTCTTGTAGCTACCACTGGCAGCCATTGTGTCAGGAATGTTAATCTGAATTTAACAAGAACATCAGACTATACAGTGGGTATGTTAGCAGGAACTAGCTTTAAAACAGTTAAGATTTCAGGTAATAGCTTGCTTGCTAAAGAGGACAGTAGCTTAGCCTAAAGTACACTGATTCAGACTGCTTGGTCATCTTTTTTGATCTTGATTAGGTTTTCTCAAACTATATGGCTGCTTGTGGGAAGAGGAGTAAAAACGAGTAGGAAACAAATTTGCTATAGGAAGCTAAGCTCAGCCCTAACTGTGGAGGCTGAAGGTCACTTTAAAGCATGCTAACATAGCCCTCATTTAGGCTGGTTGTTTTATTCAATTCTGATTAGCATTTCCCATGCAAAAGGGCTGTCAGTGGGCGTTTTGAGAATGAGTGGGAAAAGATTTTGACATTAGTATTAGCACTTGTATCAGGCTGCATATTTCTGTCTGAATCTGACCCGTGCCCAAGCAGGTGGCGTCCAAACCCAACCCCAGCATGATGCAGTTAGGTTTGTACAATGTTTCTCCCTTATCAAGCAGACGTTTGAGTGCCGTTGTCTAGCCTAAGGTTTGACCTGTGTGCGAACACAACCTGCACCTGAACCTCAACTTTCAAAATTTCTGTCTGAACCTGGACCAAACCTTTGGGTACGCACAGGTCCCATCAGGCTCAGTTTGCATATCCACACACCAATCAGTATCTAAAAATCAAAACATAATCTTGTGGGTGCTAGAATCTAAGTTAATGCAGGCCAAAAGAGCATTGAGTTCTAATTAGCATTCCTCATAAAATGGCTTCCAGTGGCGCCTAGAGGAGTACGAATGGGCAGGAAAAAGCTAACTGAAATGCAGCTTGTTAGGGGTGTTAGCAGGAGCTAGATTCAAAACATTAAGACTTCAGGGTGATAGCTTGCTTGCTAAATGACATGCTAGCTTAGCCTACTGAATGCTGATATACAGTATCTTTAGAGTGGTTGTCTTTTATTGTTTTGATAAACATTTCTTATTAAAACCAATGGCTCTGAGAGCAGCAGAGCTAATATCCCCCTACAAAGAGAATAATGAACCTGAATGTGACAACTGCTGTCACCTATGATAGCTGTTCACAGCTGCCCAGCATGATCCAACTGATCCCAAATCAGCATTAAGAGGAAGCTCCATCTGAGCAGCAATCAGAAGATTCAAAGGAAGGCAGGGAAGAGAAAGGGGAGGGGGAGATGAGAGGAAAGAAAGGAAGCAGGGAAGGAGAGGAGATGACATAACAGAGAATGGCTGAGTTGAAATAAAACAAGTGTTATTTTCTTTGTTTGATAATTTATTTTTTCCCTGGTCAATCTCCTGTGGGTTAGGGTTGGGGGAGCAGGATGGTGGACAGAGGAGAGAGGGGAGTTCAAAGGTCATCATTGTGTTGGTGTGTGTTTGAGTAGGTTTGTGTGTAGGCCAGTTATCAGCTGCTGTCAGGCGATGGCTCTCGATGCATGGCGGCGCTCTGGTGTTTGATGCTGTCCAGGTACTCCTGTTGAGAGACGGCCAGCACCGACGCCAGGATCTCGTCGTCCTCCCAGTCCGTCAGACCTGGAACACACACACACGCACAAGGTAACAAACCGACAGGAAGTGCAGTTCTATTCAAATGAAGTCTTGGAGTGCATCCCAAATTGCCTACTACACACGTATGCACATGTTTCTGTCAAATGCCTCCAACATGAATAAAAATGCAGAAGGCACTGCAGCCACTCCACCGTCCAGTAAGCACAACCTCAGACATACACGGCCATGTGGCCATTGATTAATTTGCATGCTTACATGTAATGACACTGGCCACTCGTTCATTCACAATAGTAGCAGCATAGCTGACACTCTATGACACTCATGGGAGTGTCATAGAGGGTCAGGTTTATGGTGACAGAGGCCTAAGGCCTCTCTTACTATACAACCACTATATTACACGAATCACCACATCGTACATCTCATCACGTAGCCCACAGTTTAGTGATAATACGAAAACGTGGGAGCGCATTTCTAAATTGGCTTTATTTTGACAGACTGACCACATATTTGAAAACTAGATGGTTATGAAACAAAAATCAAGACTTAATCAAATGGCATAATAACAATAACAGTGAAACTTTTAACAGCTTTGAGCCTGCCCTGCCACCACCATAGGATGATGGGGTAGCACAGCATCCATCACCTCCATACTATGAAGTTATGTAGGACATCCAGGTACTACTCACCTACATGTTTTGCCTTATGAAGAATTCAGATATACTACTTGTCTCACATACACATTTTAGCCTATTAGTAGCAGGCAAGTAGGTCATTTCGAACAAACCCCTGGTCACCTCCCTGACTCTTAGGTCCTTCAGACTCCAGGAAGAGTCCTGTTGGTTCCAGACTTCTTCCATGTCCCAGTTACTGAGGCCACTGTGCCCCTGGGAACACTCAGAGCTTCAGACGTGGTTTGATCCCCTAGTCCTGATCTGGGCCTCACCACAGATGGACTTCATGCCTTGGTCTTTGCCCTGACCTGCAGTGTGAACCCTGGGACCTTATACACATAGGTGTGTGTCTTTCTCCACTCTGTCCAGTCAGTTCCATTTGCTACAGGGAAACTCCAGTCAGGGTGTAGACACATCTCAGACAGGATATCAAATGAACTCTACAACACGATGTGTAAAAAGCGAAGACTCTGAACACGTATTGAAACACTCGTGTTCAGAGCTGTAAATGACTGATAGAAAACAGGCCCAAAGAGTGTGTTTCCTCAGGGTGACAATGGGCTGCGCTTCACCTCGGATAACTTCTAACACCACGCCCCGCTCTGCTCAGCTGCTTCCTGTTGACTCAGGTCAAGCTTTGACAGTAAACAGCACAAACTCAAGACAACTATAATTAGTTTTATGTATCAAATTACCAAGTAATATGGTGATGCAATACACTGTTAGAAAGTTTGTGTGTCACACACACAGTAAGTAAACTCCTCTTAAACTGGTGAGAGCTGTTTCAGTTGTTTTTAATGTCGACCCCGATGACTGGAACTCAGGTAACAGGGACTTGACTGACTCGAACACTAGGTACTTGAGGCTGGAGTCAAACTCAAGGTTTAGTGACTCGACTACAACACCGACTGTGGGCATGTTGGCCAGCCCTCAGTTTGAGGGTTCAGACCTGGTTTAGGGCTCAGGTAAGAACCAGGTTTAGGTGTGGCTTAGGGGAAGGGTTGAGCTTAGACATTTAATTGTAAAGGTTAGGACCAACATGTTTCTGTGTGGATTTCTTACCAAACGCTGTCGGCGACATCTCCTGCATGATGGCTCTGTACTCCAGATGGTGACGACTCTGGTTACTGGGACCTACACACACAGTCACCAGATTAGCAGAACACACACCTGTGTCAGGTGTTACATTTTGGGTGGACACGCCCCCTCATTAGTTCAGTACAATCTGAGTATTTATTCCACAACTGAAGTTCCTGCGGTGGAAACATGCCATTTCCTGATTGCTTCAGCACTGCACGTGTCAGCCATGAGACACACATGCACTCAGGATGATGTACATGCATGTGTCAGTGTCTCTGTCTGTGTGAGGTGTGTGTTACCTGGTGCGCAGGGCGAGGGGGGTTTGCTCAGGATGAGGGCGGCTCCGGTCGGGGAGGGTGGCTTGTTGATGGTTGACGGGCCGGTCGTGAGATCTGAGTGGGAGGGGTCGGAGTCACGTTGTCGTGGTGACCGGGCACTCCACTCATCCAGTCCGCTGGAAGCTGCCGCAGTCGCCGAGCTGCAGGTGGCGCTGGCCTTACGAGGCTGAAAACGAAAAGACCCTGACAGTTACTGTTCGTCACCGTCCCTATGTGGAGGCCACTGTTCGGAGCGCACCTGGACCCAGAGTAGCAACCATTCGTGGAGGGAGCACACCTCCCCGGCTCTTTGCTTTGCAGCACATGTTCAGTGCCCACACAACTTGCTGTCACCTGTTGCTGCTGCTTTTCATTATTGTCTTATAATAAAAGGTAGAACAGTTCTGAAAGGCTTGTGAGAATAAAAACTTGTAGTTACAGTCCAGTGAATCCACTCGTCTTCGCGGAATGAATGGTAACCCCCCCAAAAAACTGGCTTCCGTTACTCAGTTTAAAACCTCTAGCTATGACCAAATGTTTGCTCATGTCTTCAAGATTTTTGAGAGGAACCTGGCTGCAAACAAGATGGCGGACTGTGACCAAGATTTGCAGAACCTTGCCTGGAAGCTGGGCTATAGTTATGGTTACCCTAACACCTAATCCACCTAACACATAACCCTGCCAGGTGAACAACTTCCAGCTAATATCACCAACCTCCTGCTGAGGTCAGCAGCCTGTTGTCATGTCTGCCACCAGGTTCCCTTGAGACTTTTAAAGGAGCACCCCACCTATTTTACTCCTAAACTCCAGTTTACTTGTCACAAAGTGAGAACAGTGTATGACCCCCTCTGTACCTGTCTGGCCTGTTTCTCCTGGTCCTGCAGCCACTGCAGGTAAGACTCCCGGGCCACTTGCTCCTCGATGGCCTCGTTGGTGGCCTCCCAGTCCGTCGCCCTCTTCTTGTCCTCCAACATCTGCTGCTCGATCCACGACTCCTCGGATGTCTTGATGGCTGACTTCATCAGAGACTGGTCTGCATACTTGGGGGCACAAGAAAATTCCTTGTCAGTTAACACGCACAGCAGTCCACAAAGTACCGACTTAATGTACAGTACACAGTTTTCCTGTCTAGCAAGTGTTAAATATCAACAAGAGGTTTAACATCACCAAGGATTCGGTGAGTTCTGACTCGAGTCTGTACGTTCACACCTCACTCAATTAGTGCAGTTTTAGATGGAACTCTGTGAAAGTACCAGTCACCTCCATGATCTGTGCTGTACCTGTCCCTTTCACCTCTCACACTTTCTCTGTCTCGCCTGTCTCCCTCCCAGCTTGAAACCCTGTTTTACAGTTTTAAAGTTGTTTTTAATGTGTCTGGTGGTGGTACCCCTGGTTTGAAGGCGGGCAGCCCCAGTCCCACGCCGATCGTGGCCTTGTTGGGGTTCACCACAGAGTTGTAGTGGATGTTGCGATGGTAGCTCACTCTGATAGGCTCATCGTTGTTCTGGTGGATGCCGTGGAATGTATTGATTGGCTCTGTGACAGGAGGAGCAGGGTCAGGTTGGTGGGATGTGATTGGCTGATGATGACAGATGTGCAGGTTGCTATTGGACACATAGACTCACCTGTGCCATACTGGTACACCTCCACCGGTCTGTTGTACATCTCAGCCATGGCCTGCATCTCGATGTGGTTGCCATGGCAATTGTTTTTCCTCTTCCTGTTAATGTATGTAGTGAAGTCCTCTGTCACGTAGTTGGAAAAATAGTCAGCGTTCTTCATCTGAAAGAGGAAACAGCTTTACTGCAGCAGATGGTGGATTCGCACCTGATGAACTGTGCTCTCATGGTGTTCTGTACAGACACTAGTGGAGCAGTGTAACCAGAGCAGAGGCCAATGACTCTGTGCACAGTGACAGTGTTCTCAGCCAGTGGAGCCGTTTGTTGGAAACAGACGTCTCTCATGTTTCCTAAGGAGGAAACCTGTCCCCCCAGTGCAGCGGTGAGGCCCACTGGGGGGGGTCTAATAGCTGGTGGACAACAGTGGAGGTCTATGGCACAGAGCGATAAGCTGGACCAGGGTCTGGACTCACTCACATCACAGTGAGGACACCACGTTCACTGGTGCTGCTGGTCTCTGGACGGGGTTTGTGCACAGCAACACACACAGAAAACCCACAGGCTGCAGCCTTTAAGGTGCTCTTAAAGATAGTGATTACAGTGAAGACATGAAAACCTTCTTCAGAAGGACCAGGGAGTAAAGTCTTTATTCAGTCTGGAATACCAGTTAAAACACAGAGCGGTTTGCACCTCAGTGGGTCTCAACACATCAAAACATGCTCAAAGTTTAAGAAATAACTAAACTACTCTTTTTGCCACTACATTATTTAGAGTGGAAAGACCTGCAATGCTCTCCTTTTGTGTCAGTATGTAACAGTCATGTCACTGTGTTCGCAGTACCAGCTGCTTCAGGTGTAAACTTCCAAACCAGGGTTAAACAACCTGCTTTGAAAGTTTCTGCCTTCTGTAGACCTAACCAGTCCTGGTTAGACCTAATCTGTCTTTGACCCATCTTCACTTCCTGCTCTGCCTGAGAGGCCCGAGGAAGGCGTTCCTGTCTTTAGATAAGTGTTGTTGGCTTTCAGGTGAGTGTAAGGTCAGAGGTCAGGCTGACTCACCAGGTAGTCCATACAGTGCTTCCTGACCACTTCATGCATGTCCTGATCTCCATAGACCTGATCAGCTGAGAGAGACAGAGACAGTGTATGGGTTAGTTGTAGACCAGAAACTGTGTGAACGCACAAAGGCAGACACACACACACACACAGAGTTTTGGTTCTGATTGTCGCATACGTCTCTTATCGAACCCTTTATCTCTCCAGGTCACTGATCAGCAAACACTGATGGGGAAATCAGTGAGTTGGGGTGAAAAATGACTAAGTGATGCTTCAGTTTTCAAGATTAGAGCTAATTGTTTTTTTACTCAATCACACATCGACTTGAAAATGACTCCAAGCACGAGTGAGTGTGAGATTGCTGAGGATTCCCGCCTCTGATGTGCAGCTCTCAGACTGTGGAGCAGTCGGCCGTCAGGAGCGCGCACACAGAAACTTGTCTCTTTCACACACACACACACTTCCTGCATTGGTATGCAAATAAGCATCACTTTGGTTCAATTTCCAGCAAGTCACATGGTCTGTCGCTGCGGTGATTCTCAGAACCCCCCCCTCCCCCCGACAACTTCCTCTTTCTGATCAGTGGTTTGTGCGCGTTTGTGTGTGTGTGTGTGAAGTCAGTTGGTGTGATGTTGTTGATGGAGGTGAAGGAGGGAAATGATGACTGATGGAGCACAAAGAGACACTCACAACAAAACTAAGAGCAGCAACAGGTGTGTGCATCAGAAACACACCGCGGGAATGTCCCAACACATCACCAGGCTGTGTGTGTGTGTGTGAATCATCAGCATGACACCAGTGACCTCTTCTACACACAGACACATGTGTATTTTTATTTTGACACTTGAGGTGTTTTTAGTTCAGGACTGAAATCAGCACCATGAATCATATGAACCGCTAACACACTGGAAATAGTGCGAGGGAATCTCCCCACAGATCAGTCAGGGTGGATCCCACACACTTTATGTTGCCACTGACACAGAGAGGAGGCAAGCAGACAAGGAGAGGGGACAAGGAGAGAGGACAGGAAATTCAGAGAACAGCAGACAAGATGGAGGACAAGGAGAGGAGGAAACAAGAAAGGAAACACAGAGAAGAGGAGATTACAGAGTAAAAGTCTGTTGTTGCTGAGAAACAACACTTCTGCAGAACTAATAAAAAAGCAAAGCAAACAGGAAATAAAAGCGAGCAGTCTGATTGGTCAGCCTGGACATTATTCTGAGAAGAGGGCGGTTTCTCTCTGATGTCGATCAAGTTTTTATCTGAACCTCACAGCAGCTGATTCCACCCCAACCACCAGCAAAGTGCAGAGCATTCTGGGTAGAGTAGTTCAGCGACAACTAGAAACACCAGAGAATAACAAATATAGATGATAAGTTTAATAAAAACTATGTTTAGAACTTTTTTTATATGCAGCCTTTTGTCTTGTGTCATCTCTTATTCTGTAAATCAACACATAAACAGAATAATAACAGCGATATACAATCAAAACTCTTGTTATTATTCATTCTTATTAGAGTGTGGATACCCAAACCAAGCCCAACGAGACCCCTCAGAGGGTTCAGGGTGAGTCTGGACATAAATGTAGATATTCCACCGATCAGCCATAACATTATGACCACCTGCCTAATACAGTTTACATAGGAGTCCCTGTGGCAGTCGGTCGGCACTCGTGTCACTCTGCAGCTCACTGTGCATAGTCTGTGAATCCATTTGTTTCCACAGTTCTACTGACAGGAAGAGCACAGATGTGTCTACAATTCAGTGAAAGACTTAAGTAAAAGGAGTGAAAACTGGTCATGAGGACGAGTTAGAGAGAATTATTTAGACCAGTCCAACAGCCTCACCGCTCTAGGTGTGATATCACCACTACAGCCCCCGACTCTTTCTCTTCATACAGACCAATGGACAGTGTTTCTCATTTTCAGCATCAGGCTCTGACCAAAATATGTGGCCTGATCCATGCTGTGTAGCGGGGGGGCGACAGTGGTGTGGTAGGTAGAGCAGCCGTCTACCAACCGGAAGACACCGAGGTTCGACCCTCGATGCCCTCAGTCCACATGCTGAAGTGTCCTTGGGAAAGACACTGAACCCCCCCAAGTTGCCTGTGATGGCGGCACGTACGCACTCAGCGGCCCGGGGCCCCTCGGCTCCAAACAAAATTTCCTTGTACGTGACACAATGTTACAATAAAATAAAGCTTCTTCTTCTAATATTAACAACAAAAACCAATGTCAAGGAGGTTTATTATGCCATTTTGGATGCATATAAGCTAGCTAGCAGCCGTTTGCAGACATCCGGCTGATGCCAGCACAGACAGAGCAGAGGAATCGGTTTCTGTCCCATCTGTGCTTCAAGTCTGGACTGAAGGATCTGTTGCTGTGTGTAGCTAGGTGGGACAGTGTTTATGTTTTACTTTATGTTAGTGGTGCAGGGTTTTTATTATTCCTGCTCAACTGTTTTACACATGTAGCTAATAAATATGTCACGCTGTAGAAGTCTTTCATTAGTAAAAGAAAACCGAGTGTGTAAAAGATCCTGGACTTCCTCTGATGAACTCTTGTACTCTTGTTTGTAAAATCTCAGCACTAGCAGGTTTTACCATCAATATCAGTTTGTCAGTTTGTCCACGCTCACCATTTGTTCACTGTTGGCTCTGCATTTGTGTCACATCAGACAAAAACTGAGAACAAAACTGTGAAACAAACAGCCAGAGACGGTATAAATAGAGTCTACTATTGTGAAATCCATCAGAACACGAGCTGCATCCAGACACACTGTGTGACCTGAAGGGAAAGTCCACCTTTGACCCAGACCGGACTCAGACTGCAGCAGAGTGATGACGAAACAACGGAGCTTCCTCGTCACAAACTGTACCGCTGACACTGTCTGGACATGAACACTCAGGCGCCGTGTTACAGTAAAAGCAGGTCATAGGACACTCGGACAGAGGTCACGAACATGTCTGGTCTTCACGTGCACTGAGTGACTCACAGCTGCAGCTCACTGCTATTTGAGTTCACATTATTACATCTCATGCTATTCACAAATACACCTCAGCCTACCCCCCAGTGAGCTGCTGGAGCAGCCTGCCAAACATGCATTTTGAGGGCGATTTCAAGCTTTGTGCGCTCTGGTCAGAATCAGTGGATCAGTTTAGACTTAGTGTATTTTCCCTTTGATTCAGTTTACCACAGAGAAAACTCCAAGCAAACAAAAATGCATCAGGCTACAAACCACAGGAAAATGTTCCTGTCATCTCATTCGTGAAGGCTGCGTCCACATCCCAGATCTGAAGTTTCCCCCCCAGTGCCTCAGACCAGATCTGGGCCACCTGCGAATGTGACCCAATTCCTCTCTGACCTCTGCGAGCGCCGTCAGAACGGTCAGATCAGAATCCATGTGGTCGTTTTAACGTCTCCTCCTCTGCACATACGGCCTGTCGTCATCATTTGGCGTCGGCCCCTCACAGACCGGTAACAATAAACATGGAGGAGAGCGACGACAGCGACGGGGGCAGTGGAGAGACCAGGACCGGACCAGGTTTCACATGTGGTGGACGTTTATGGAGAAGCTTCTGATCAGGACAAACTGGGAGGAACATATCGTAACCCAGTGGTTTGGGAGGAAACTGGGCCATTTGGCTGTCACACACACCACCTGGTTGTTATTGTTGTGCGCACGTGGCTCACATTTCAGTTACATCTGTGCACATGTGGCAGTTTAGGAGCTGAGCCGTGTTGACACCGGAGCCAGGTACACGGCACTGACACACACGGACAGGAAGCAGCAACACAAGAAGGTCAGAGCTGACTGAAACATCAGGTCTGTAGAAGCCATAAATCTGCTGTGTGTCCAGTGATGCAACTGAAATAACCACAGTGACTCTGGAGCTGAAACAAGGCGTTACAGGACACTGCAGGTCATGAGCTCTGCAGCGACACTGACTAGTGAAAGCAGGTCACACTGTCACAGACCTCGGAGGACAGTGACCTCGGCCTGTTTAGCTTCTCCAAACGTTTCCATTAAAGCAATGAGGAAATGGCTCCTCAGGCCTTGTTGACCAGTCATATAACTCGGCGGCTCATCTGAAGTGCAAATTACTCGGTGCATATAATATATCACAGGGGTCACATGTTTTGTACACTTTATAGCTGTGGCTGCAAAACGGCCTCAACCTGTTCTGAGGAACATCAACACTGGTTAAACCACTAAAAACACCACAGTCTCTTCCCCTGCTTGTTTCCTGCAGAGACCTGTATCAGAGTCACAACAGAACCAGTGGCAGCATCACACACAGACTCGACAGGAAGTCTGGACTGAATGACTGATTGGGCTACACCTGACAGGTGGGTCAGCTGAGGGTAGGGACCCGGGTTTGTATGTAAAGTTGTTAAAACCTGCTCCACACCCCACCACATGTACTCAACAACAAGGTTGTCCTGCGTACATGTTTCAAAGTCAATGAAAGAACTAATAAATATGCTATTTGTGGAGGAGGAACAAGTCCTGTGTCTAACTGCTCCTGCTGCGTCCAGCCTGTTCAGCCCTGGTGTTACTGGTCAAAGGTCAAGGTCAAAGTGTTTATTTGTCATATGCACAGTCAGGAAACGTGTTTCCCTGTACAATGAAATTCTTACTTTGCCGTCCACATGAATGCTACAAAATACAAATGAAATATAGAGTAGCTGGTGTGAGAAGGACAAGCACTCGGCCTCTGCTGCTGCTGAGATGTTGTCGGGCATCATCCCTATTTCTTGATGAATTCAAGAATTCCTGGATGCTTCAGGTTCACCAGGAGTTCACCAGGAGTTCACCAGGAGTTCACCAGGAGTTGTTGATTTTATAAGGAATTCAGTGAAACTAAGGTTTAAACCCTGATGGATGGTTTCTGGTTGATGGGAGCTAAAGCACGAACAACACTGCTGCAGTCCTCTGAAACACTCTCTCTGGTGAAGTCACACAACACTGGTGGACGTCGTCACCGTTTTGACGCACTCTTTACTCTTATTCTCTCTGATAAGGCAAGACTGGCTGCAGTGCATGCTGGGATTTATCAGTACACCAGGAACATGTCTCTGACCATCAGATGTTGCTCAACAGGCCTAAAAGAAACACATCTGACTTGCTGTATGTAACAGTGACACACACAATGTGTGAACTTTCCTCTGCATGGTTCGACTCCAGCAGCTCCACAGTCCTGGACTCACAGCAGACGACCAGACTGAACGCCCACTTGCTTTCATTCAGTCTAACCCCTGGCCCCTAAATCTTAGCCCTAATGCCCCTTCACATGCACAGGTAACCTAATTCTCTTTGGGACCAAGGGTAGAGCTACATAGCCCTTCAGACTGAGGGTTAGGGTTAGGGAAACCAGGGTTTCCAGAGGCAGAATCAAACCGGGTTTTACCAACAACAAGCATTGTTTAAGCTCAATACCTCAAACTAATGCAGCAACATTCTCAGATATCAGAGACGTCTTCTCTTCTTTGTTGTTGACAGTCACAGAATTCCCCGAGCCCCTTAACCATCACAACTAAATGTGTAGCCCCAACCCTAACCTGAACCCTGAAGCCAGGTCTGAACCCTTAAACAGCCTGCTGAAGGTGTGAGGACCGCACATCATGGCCTCACGTTGCACAATCGTCCTCGCAATGATGGTACTACTGAACTCAAATTTGTCGACACATCCACGGAAAGACACACACGTGCACACACTCCTGTCTACCTGAAACAGAAAGTGGACAGCTAGGTGTGAAAACTGTTGTGATACCTCAAACACTAAACACCAACACTTGTTCAAGTGTGTGCATGTGTGTGTGTGTGCTAAAGCTGACAGATGATTTCTCTGAAATGCATCACAAAGCAAAGAAACAAGTCTCTGAAAATAGAAGTGAAAATAATGAGAACTCAGAACGAAGACCAAGCGGACAGAGAGTTTTAACCTGAAGATGCTGCTGAACAGACGCACGCAGAGGCTTCGACCAGCAGCTTTTGAACATTAACCAAATACTTTGTCAGTGCATCTTTGACCAAAACAGGACACGTCTATTCCCTCTGGACAACAGTGTTCCCGCAGTCTGACCACATAGTCTCTTCTCTAACAGATACACTTCACACTCATACACCGTGTATTTATAATAAAACTAAAATCACAGAACACACCATCTGTTTGGATGCATTTCGATATGTACCAATGTTTATTATAGTGTGGCGTGATCTGAGCTTTTCAGACCAGAAAAAAAACTGGCATCTCTTCTTGTTGTTGTCTGTAGTCCAGTAAAACATGGAGCTTCACTTCACTTTCAGACAAACTGATGTGGCAGCAAGAAACATTAGGTTTCATCACTGAGGCAAAAATTTATAGACCATCCAGAGTCAGGTCACGATGGTGATGTTAAGCAGCTTAGTCCAGATGTCCCTCTCCTCAGAGACGTCCTCCAGCCCTCCTGGGGGACCCCGAGGCGTTCCCAGGCTACATGACATATATAATCCCTCCAGCATGTTCTGAGTCTACCCCAGGGCAAAACCTCCAGTGGGAGGCATCTTAGTCAGATGCCCCAACACTTGCCCTAACTGTAACTTTGAGGATTGTTTCCAAGTAAAGTTTGTCCACACAACCACAGAAAAACATGCACAAACACACACAGGCCAAGGTCAGTGTGATGACATACCTGCGGCAACATAACGTGTTATCTGAAACACTACCTGGACTCTGCTGACCTGCATGTGCCTTACAGGTAAACCCCCAGGTCTCTCTCTCTCTCTCTCTCTCTCTCTCTCACACAGGTGAGCAGTGTGTCAGCATCAAAGTGCTATATCAAGGTTCTCCTTTCAAGCTGAACCCAGTGAAGAGTCCAGCTGTGACTGAGGCCGTGCTCACAGCTGTGGGTGAACACTGACACCAGCTGGTGAGAGGAGGAACTGCAACTACACACCTGAGGACAGAACAAGGTGTGTGTTCATCACTCACCCACAGCTCTGAACAGACATGCGCCGTCCTCCTTCATCTTCTTGATGACAAAGCCCTTCTTCTCCCGCAGAGCTTTCTCAAACCAGTCCTCCTGCTGACGACACAAATACAGGGTCCGAATTATCCCAGACCAGGTCCTCCTCTCCAGATATGCTCCAACTAATCCAGGCTTTATTGTCTGTGAGGGGACATTTGCTTCGCAGCCAGATAAAACACATACACTTAAGCATAAGGCACAGCACAAAAATCCAAACTAAAACCACCATACACAAGCTCACTAAAGAATGTATCACAGTCACAACAAAATATAAGGAACACAATCCAATCAGAACCATCCCATCAGTCAAGATCACGTATCAGGTATGTGTGTAAGCTGATCCATGGCCGAGTCGTGCTGAGCATGCAGAAGCTCTGTAGATGCCCAGCGTGTGCACGCTGTGCAGACAGTGGTCTTTTGATTGAAATGTTCACTTCTATGCACATTTTATTGACTGTATCACCCATAACACATGGAACAAGTCTATTCTTTTCAGCATCTGCAGAACCTCTTTGCTAGAGCAGTTGTTCTCTGTATGTGACTTGCTGTTTTTGGCCACACCCCCTGATGTCATCTATTGATAAGCCTGGATTTAAGAGATTGGACTCTTTTGATTTTACCCACACGCGATGCTGAATTCTGATCTGAATACAGTGAAGACACACAATGAAAGATGAATTTACTGCTCATGCAATTAGGGATGAGTTCTGATAGTCAGGTCCATTTTGGATCCAGGTCCAAGTTGGTAAAATTCCAGGATTCATTAAATCCAAATGATTCCCTGTTGAATCTTTCATTTACGCTCTGCTTCGCAAGACGTCAGCACTGAAACAAGACTGGTGACGTAAACAAACACGTTACAGCTCCCAGACACCGTTGTTCACCGTGGCCTCTGATTGACTGGCATTTTTCTCTCTGTTAGTTTTGGTCATAGCCTTGTTCAGTAATCCACCTGTGGCTTCGGTATAATAGGACTACATATCAAGACATGAAAAGAGTCCAAAAACAGAAGGCGCATTGCTTTGTACAACTCTGCACTGCCATGACTTGAACCGCACATCTTACCTGTCTGTCAGATAAGAGAGAATGAATGAACAGCAACAAAAACAAAACTGGTTTCATGACCCTCTCTGGGTTTCCAGCTAAAGCTGGAACTGTTACTCTCTTTTTTATGTTAATAGAACATTTAGAACATTTTAAATGATATACAGCCATCTATTTGAAATTGTTCCTCATGTGCATTTTATGTCTCATTCATGTTGACAAATCGCTGTGGACAGGTGGTTCAGGAGGCTGCTGCTGGAGGTGCTTTAACCGAGGACACATGGGCACATACTCTGCAGAAGTCTGCTACGGACTGACACACCCCTTTATCATAAATCAGTTTGTGATTGGGTGACTCACATGAAGACTCAAGGAAAGGATGGCTCATGTCAGTTAAAATGTGCTCCTCTCTCCTCGCATCTTATTTGGGCAGGACTCAGTGACAAGAAGAAGATGAAAGTGTGGGAAACGTGGATGTGGTTAGGGGAACTGGGATTCACCCAGTGTCTCTGCAGCTCAGTGAGAAGGTGTCAGGAGGAAGCTCAGGACGACTGCAAGTGGAGACACAAGTGAATGCTGCTCCATGTGTGTGTGCGGCGATGATGAGGCTGTGACCTTCCTCACATGAAACTAACACAAGTGTCAGATTCCCATTACATTTTCCTTTGTTGAAGGTTTTACTGGAGCTCATCTGGCTGACTAAGCATTTCATCCTGTGTATTAATCGTGTCAGGCTTTTACATTCTTTTCAGCACAAACAGATATCACTGCATTACATGTTTCATTGTAGTGAGCAAGGAATTTGTAATCTGACTTATGAACACACCTGCGAACATGATAGGCAGAGATCAAAAACCTGGACCAGGTGCCTCAATCAGAGTCCTTTAACTTTGGGCACCCACAGATACCAAGTCTGTCTGATCCGCTGATTTACCTGCTTATTGTTTATTTAACAGGGACAATGCACAAGATATTTATTACACCAGAAACAGCTCAAAGCTCAGTTTCATCTGTAGGATACACAGGCTGCAGAATTAGCAGAGAACAGTTGGTTGCACCAAAATTTAATTGTTGATTAAATCTGTGGACTGCAAAAAGCTCCAAAGATCATGACTGGTGTACAAGTGTAAATGTAAGCACACTCATCTCCCACTGTTGTCTGGAGCCCAGTCCAAGCTCAGTGTGCACCAGAGGGAATATGACATGTTCTCACACTGCCCTCTAGGACAGACACTTTTCTAAATGTCATCCTCGTCCTCAGCTCTTTCACTGTCATTACTGATCAACGTTATGTTTTTATTGCTTCGATGTCTTGTTTTAAAAACTGCTGCTGATTAATTTTTCATAGCCCAGCTGATCAATGAAATGATTCATAAATGCAGCTCGCGTTAATTTAATACTTAAAAGTGTTTCTGTTTAACTGAGGTGGTTATTGTTCAGTCTGGAGGTCCCATACAGGAGCCATGAAATCTAAGGCCTTCTAAAAAGATTGTTCAAGACCTGCAGTCACCCTGTTCACCTGTCAGGTAACTCAGGGCAGTTGCCATGGTTACCTGCAGTGTAAAGAACGGCTAAGCTGGACTATATATCAGGGGCACACCTGTATCTGAACCACCTGATACCCAAACTGAAAACTGACATTGTGTAAACATATACCGAGTTTGGAACACATTATTGTCTTTGTAACTGATTTTAAAAATCACAATTAATTGAAATATAACGCTGTAGTCTTTAAAATGCTAAATTCCGTTTTTGCAAACCCATTTTAACATTCAAATGTTCAGTGTCTGTCTTCTGGGCTTTGAATACCCACGGTTATTATCCGTGACCGACCCTAAAAACCAAAGCTAATCGTACAGGTTTACTGTTTAAGCCACTTATGCAGCAACACTAGCATTAGCTCTAGCTTCTTGCTAATGTTATGGTTGCTAACGTTAGCTTCCTACCTGCTCCACGGTAGCCGGGTCCATAGACTGTAGCCTTGCGGCGTTCTCGTACTCGTCCTCGCTGTTGTTCCCGGCTCCTTCTTCCGTATCCTGGCTGGACCCCACTCCTCCCGGTCCGGTCACCCCGGGCTGACCTCCGCCGGCCAGCGC